GCCCATTACCAAGAGGGGTAACCGGTAATGTAAGCTCTTATACAACAAGGAGTGGTCTCTCTGTTAGTACCACTCGCTTGCCTCTTGCTCCTTCTTCTGCAATATGCACAAGGATTTTATCCGCTACCATCAGCCCCGACCCATCCAACAACTTCCACAAACTATTTCACCCACCACCCTGACGCCAGCGTGTTAGCTGCAGATGCCAAATTGATGGAGCTGAATAAGCACGATGCCCCCAATCATCGAGCAACCTTACCACGACAGTGACGCTTCAAGGCGGGAGCCTAGGGAGCCTACAGTTTTGATGACGAAGTGAGGTTTGGGTTACCTGCAACCTCAGCTTGAGGGAGCTATGGGTCGGGAAACTGCTGGATGAAGAAGCTGCTTCCTTGGTCAAGGCGTACGCAAAGCAGCTACGAGATCTAAGGCGTATCGTGGATCAGAGGGAAAAATTTGTCCGCACAGCCGGCCCTCACCAAGATAGTGCAACGTACTTGGTTGTGCAGTTGTGTAGCACAGGCATCGCCCCTTTTAATAGCAAGTTGCCTTCCGTAATCAATCTTATGCGGACGAGGAACCCCCCATAACCCAAGTTCAAGTCGAGGTTGAGATGGTGTCCAACTTTGGGTCGTGTCTCCCTGCATAGTGAAGCGCAAGCCCGTCACAACCATCATGACAAGTCGCAAAAGTATCAGTGTAAAAGCTAGGACGTCACCCGGAAGTGGCGCGCAGAACCCTCGCCCGAGTTCTGTGGTCAGTATGCGAGGGCTACCGAGGGGTGAACGACCTCGGCCAAAGAAGCTAGTTCGAATTGGGACCCTGAACGTGGGGTCGCTTACCGGGAAGTCTCGTGAGGTTGCCGACCTCATGAGACGCAGGAATATCCAAGTCCTATGCCTGCAGGAAACGCGATGGAAGGGTGCGAAGGCCCGCGAGATTGGAGAAGGCGTCAAACTCTTCTACAATGGAACAGATAAAAATATTCATGTCTTCATACTGTAGTCAACTTACACATTTTGCTGAAAAGCCCTCTTACAACCACTTAAACGCAATTTTCGTATCAACTCTGTGCCAATTTCCAAAATTTCAGATGATTGATCGTTCATTGATGACCGCTCAGTAGCTAACTATAATCTCATGTATTTCCACTGTGTAATTATAGCATTCTGTTCTCGAGTGTTTTGTTTATCCGCGTAATCCTTGAGTGCTCTCTTTTCGCTATTTTCGCAATACGCTTTCCTCGACTTGCTGATCTCCACTAGATTAATGCAGAAATGGTCACTGACCTCTGATTGACTGAGCTCGTTTCGTGTTTTGTTTAGGCTGCCTCGAACCCTACGTGGCTTACATCCCTCACAAGTAGCAAAGAAGAACGGTTGGTGCCAATATTCGCTCCTCCTCCCGACCAGACCTTGTGTAGAAAGTTTCCTCATGACACAAACAATGCAAAAAATGCATAGAAACCGTTGCAGGGATGTGGTTATCAATCGGCCAAAAAACCGTCAACCCTATGTGATGCTTCGCCTGCCAAACCATTGACAATGAGTATAATCTGGGTGTTGAATTGGCACTATTAAAAAAAGCCAGGTCAGTGACAAAAAAACAACCACTGTTTTGCACCACTATAAAGCTTTGGCAGGAAACCCACAGTCACTGAAATCGCCTGAGTTAGCAGTATGTAATTCCTAATAGATTCATATCCTCACAAGCATTTACGAATCTACATGTCCACAGAGGCATGGGCAGTGATCGATGAATGCTAGCACACCGCCACCTCAAAATCGATAAAAGTCGAACTACGCAAAACTCGAACAAAGTGAATCGCTACGTGACTGAGGCCGTTCCGGGAATCGAGTTAAAAACCGCGAATTGGGAAAAAACTTCGTTTGTACTTTGTCTGAAGATATCCTCTCCAAAGTATGTAATAGGTTGGAAAAATTGAACGGCAAAATTAAAATGTTTGTGGAGCTCATAAGCAACATCACCTTGCGATTTCAAGGAAGTAGATCATCATAGATGCGCAAGAACCCAACTGTTATTCTTACGAAGGGTTTTAACAAGGAGTGCATGATCATAGTCGTATTTGAGAAGTTGTGTGCGTTACCGGTTCGTCTGCGATTAGTATGATTGTTGCTTGAAACCGCATGTTCCATCTTGAGTTGATAGTTTCAATTTTAACTCCTGTGGCCTCTATTCGCTATGAACTCGCTGGACAAGGAATGATCTCCTTTTACAGAAGTTTAACTATCTGAACGTTCGAAAACGATGCATTGAACGAACCATGTAGGGCACAGATCCATAGAGAGCCATTGGACTGTTCAAATCATATTCAAATACATCAAGGTTGTACAGTCGATACGGTTCATAGTTCCTGTAAAACGCTCTCAGAAACACCCTCAACCTTCCGGATCCGAAAGCTCAAAAAGACAAAGAGTGAAAGTGTGGAAGTTAGAACTGTCGAAATCACTTCCTTTCAAAAACATTGACTTCTTCTCAAGGAGAGACCTCCTAACGCTTGTTAGGTTCCAGGCTAAACTCTTGAAGTTTCAGATACTACAGTGGTTTATTTCAAGTGGAACCATGAGGTTCTACTTTGAGAAAAAAGGTTCCAGGCTTCAAATTTAACGTATCGTTACCAACTTTGTATCACGTAACGCATACGACTCCGCATGCTCAGGCAAACCATAGACGAATTTCATTCCAATTAGAGCGATGTCAATACCAACTGATGATGAACCTTGAAGAATAGATCGAATAAGTAAACAACATGTACTTTTGTGTGTTCCTAACCATAAGGTTTGCTGTCTTTATGCTCCCCGAAGACCTCCTCCCAATATCCCTTTTCGCGATCTGACAAGAGCGCCTTCTTCTTGAACGGTTCCACCATTAGAAGTCCACCAGAGTTGATGGAGCATACCTAAACAATCAGACAACTTACGTTTCTTCGTAAGCCTGTCACCGAAATCACTCTCATTTGAATATCCGCCCAGGACACCGAAATTTTTCAGATGAGTGGGCACACGGTCAAGCCACAAGTTGCGGAAACTCGGCATGGCCTCTCGATGGGAATTTTCTGACATGCAAAAAGTTGTTTTCTCAGGATTCGGCAAATCCATGCGAAAGAATCAGTTTGCGTTATATTATTTACTATCTACACACCTACATGGCAACTGTTGATATTGTTAGTTTAGTATTTTACTACTCTAAGATCTTCCACACATCTTCAGTGCTGGTTCCGCTCCAAAGAATTTAGCGATTACATTTTTTCGCTGTTCGATGCTCACCGACCCTGTGTTTACGACCCCTCCATCTCCTTCAACAGGCAAGTGGATTTTTTCATAGGGATGCTGTACCCCTCCTAGAAATGTGGGTTGAGAGTAGCCATGCGGGCTTTTTCCACCACTGATGCCATTTTGAGCACGCGCAACAGTTGTTGGTGAAATCCTTCAAATAAAGGAGACAACCCTCAATTAGTGAAGATACATTTGATTTCTAGAAGGTATCAGGAAGCAGTACCAGTACGTCCTTTGAGTAGAAATCGACCCGGAATGGACTGTGCGTGACGACAACACGATGGCCATCATGCGTCACTAGCTTGGAGAAGATCCTGTCCGTTTTGCTTTTTTTTATCCTTAAATAAAAAAAGGAGCTCAACTGGAGTACCTCGCATCGGCTAGAATCAATAAGTTTAGAGCGTACTTTTGTTGTTTTGGATCTTTTTCTCTCAGAGAATCCAGTGGTCTATAGCGCTGTCGAGCGGCGCCTTCTGGTTCGTCAATGAGCATTCTAGAAGACAGGAACAAATTGGTGCCGAACTACACTGCCCGTGCTCGATTAAAGGATTTCAATAGGCTTTCGGCCGACTGCACCAATGATTAACTCCAAACATTGTGAAAATGTGCATCGTTCACATAGATCATGTGCACATTATAGAGCCCCTCACATTCTTAATTGGGTTTAAGTTAGGGCTACTCGCTGGCCAGGGCAAAAGGGCGGTTTGGTGACGACTGAATCACGCTCAGCCAAAAACTAACCTTACTCCAATCGGTTCGGCAACATCTTCTAGCAGGATATTTAGTTTTCGCGGTGGTTTTTCGCTAGAAAAATGCCTGACTCATATTACTCCTGTAGGTGAACTGAGAGTTCTTCAAGACACGATTAACAGTACCCTTCGAGACAGCAACCTCCGGAAGATGACTTAATTTCCCGACACGACACTGCAGAGTTGGATGCTTCCCAGAATACGGCGCTTATTCCGATCGTGCAGCAAAGAAGGATGTCCAGAGCTCTTCTCAACTCAATGTCTTATGTGTTCTTTGACACATAAGACATTGAGTTGTCGTTGTTGTTGCAAAATTGTTGATAGCATGATGGCGGCTCGAATCCTGCACGATTCGACGACTCGACAGTCTGCCCTTTTTCGAGGTCCAATTAATGAACTTCCACTTGCCATAGCCTAGAAAGGGCAAGAAGTCATAATGATGAGAAGTTTCACCGAACAAAAATGAGATGCAGCGGGAAAATATGCGGTGGAACTATCATTTTGCTGCATTGTCAGAACGACCATTTTTCAAAAAATTGACGAAAAAATTGTTCTTTCAAGTGAGTGTCAGGTAATGCATGCGACCTGAAATTGGTAATTACCACATTTTTCTCAAAGGGCATTTTTGAAAACGTCGTGTAAGACGGGATTTTGTGAGATTCATGGGTGGAACTATGATTATGCTTCGCAGTGTATGTCTTGCAGGACTGAAATCGGAGCCCCTGAGTGAGCCCTGCATGGCGCCTTTCCTAAGGTTGCTTGCAAAAAAGAACCTGATACAAATGACCAGCAACTGCAAACCAAATAGATTGACATCCTGCCTAGCTATTAACTGGCCATCAATAGTATGTGTAACCCCAATCATTCGAATAGTATCGAGAAGCTTAGGAGGGCAGCAATTTCCTTTATGGGGCGCTCGTCTTTCTGAACACGTATTTAACATCTGTTTGGTTATAAAATGATTTAACTATCCCAGCCCCATGTGTGTCGAAATCCTCTTTTGAAATATAAGGACTCGCTTAAATATTGATGAGCTTTATTGATGAGCTTTCGCTGCACTAACAGCTTCCTCAAGCCCTAAATAATCAAATCAAGCATATCTAGTACAACAATACTTAACAGTTGTTGAGTTATACAAAAGTACTAACCAGGACGACTAACTTGTCCACAATAATGTATTAGTCACTATAATACAATGTATACGGTCACTGTCAGAAACACAATTATAGCTACTGAACGCCTTACCCGAGTGGACCGCCCTATGCAACTAAAAGTCACTCTAAATGCGACGTGCGTGACATTCCTTAGGACTTCTTTATCGCAACCGCTACGATATTAGCCTGATTGCTTCCATCAGTCTATCTCTGCTAATTACTAGGGATAGCCGCTTGATAGCGATTGCCTCAAGCAATGCTCTTAGGCTTCCCATTGGAAACTCAGAATTTACGGCGTATTGAATATTCTCTGACAATGAACGCCCGCTGAGAAAGACTGTACACAAACTCTCGTGATAGAAGAGAGCCTCTTCGCTGCAATGCGCACTTTGGAAGGGCTCTTCACTTGTGCTCGGAGCGTAATCGGCCACAACAAATTAGTTAGTCTCCCGTTCAGCCGCCGCATCATCATGTGCGTCTCCAGGCTGGCGGCTTTTCGGCACATCTGCCGCACCACATTCTCGAGTCATCCGCTTAGTAGCTCTTTCTCAAGCTGAAGTACTGGGCTGGCTCAAGAGTGATGGTGTTTTTTTTAACTGAATTTTCGGTTAGGGATGAGATGATTCGCCAATACTTTCTAGACAGTTTGGCAGAGACTTTGTTGCTCTATGAGAAGGCTTGTTGATTTCCTTAAAAGCTGTTCTTACATTAGTTTCCGAGTGCTTGAGTGAACGTCAAGTCGGCAACATTGAGGATCGTCGCCACCATGTCTTTTTCCATTTCATTGAATGCTGGAGCCATAAAGACCTTCTTCGCCATATAACCAAGAAGTGTTGTCAATAAAAAGAGCAGGACACAAAAGACTGTTGCCTATATAATGGTTTGTACCGCAGTTATCTAGTTGTTGTTACATTTTAGTATCCTAACGGTACCTGTGTGGGTAACGCCCCACCTTCGTTCGGCGTAGTTTGGTGCAGGCCGTTGGTAGAAGTAGGTAAGGCTGCAGTCTCAGTCGGCGCGGTACGGTGGAGACAGGCAGTTAGTAATCCCCATGGTCCAGAGGAGGTGAGTCCACTCCTTCTGCAGGAAGAGTTTGGTGGCGGCGGTAGGACTGTGGGCACCGCGGATAACCACCGATGTCGATCGCGTCAAGAGGGTGCCCGTGCATCTAGGCCAAGCAAAGAAGACCCGCATGCTCCCGAAGTAACTGGGGAGATGGCCGGGGCAGGGATAGCCCACTGAGCCGCTCCAGATCCATCGGAGCCAGCGCTGGTGGATCCTGTAGTGAGAGGGCACCGGATAATTTCCTGGAGGCGCACCTTTCCCTTTCTTTTGCGCAGAGAAAACGATGGGCTCACTGGGTCCTACCGGGATGCAAGCTGGTGACAGGGATAAGGCCCCTCGGTCCGGCTCGACTCTGGCAGCCCGCTAGCTGCGAGCTCACTACCGCCATTTCTGGACCAGGATGCCGGGAATGTACGGCTGGCTCACACCGACAGAAACTGAGACGCACACCGCAGGTACCTCCGATGGGATAGGAGGAGCCAGCTCCACGGTGCACGGCACGAAATGAGTGCGGGAGAGTGAGCGGTTACCCCGACTGGATAGTGCATGCAGAGATTTAGAGCAGTGCCCTCTTGACCCAACTAGTTGCCTATGGGACACTGTCTGAGTTCTGCCCCTCTAACGGGCTCTCACCAAGACAGCATCGATCCCTTAGGTTCGTTTCTGTTACGGTTTGTGCTGTGCGTTAAGTGGGTGAAAATTCAGTCAATGGGGTACGTGAATTGTAACAGCAATTTTTCTTTTCTCTGGCCCATGTCTACATCCTTTTCAAGTACCTGAAATGCTTGCCAGTAGGTATATTGGTTAGTCAGCTAGTACTCTTTCTATTTTGTATTTTTCCACATGAGGGTATTCGTCGTGTATTATTTCGTTTACCTTTTCGCTTTCGCTTTACTTCTTTCTGCATTCTTTCATTTTCTTCAAATCTTTTTTCTTTTTATTCTCAATATCTGTTAGTACTCCGTCTCCTCGATCTACTCGGCGACAGCTGACGACAGCGGTAAGTGATTATATTACAGCTAGTAACAAGTACCTTTAGACGTTGAGCGGATCGATTGCAGCTCCACGATGCTGAGCACGTAAATCGCATCAATCTCACGAGGCGTCATGGGAAAGTGGAGAAACAGAAAAGGTTTGACATTTCCCATCATGCGTAGAAAAGACAGCTGAAGCGAGGTCATCGATCCACACCTTTGCAGTTGACGTTATCAGTTGCTGTGTCATCCGAGCAGGGAGCTATGGATTAGGTCCACCGATACGAGCTCCTCAAAGCTCTAAGCGCTCTCAACAGGTCATGGACAGTATAAGCAAGACTTCTGGAAGAAGTCCGCTTTGACGGCGATCAAGATTTGGTAAGTGATTATATTACAGCTCGTAATAAGGCCGCAGCCCTACTTCATGCCACTTAAAGTCGGGAATTCGATTCCTCCTCTCCATGTTTGGGAGGCAGCTGTCGGAGACGCCGTCTTGAAGGAAACTGAGAAAATATGCCATGCACGATTACCAAAACATCAGTGAAGGGGAAGCAACTGCACAAAAGACCAGATACCTGCCCACCTATCTTGAAGTCGTGATTCGCTCGCTACAGCAGAGCCCCGAAACTCGGCGCGGCACGGCAGAGGCAGGCAGCTGGTAATACGGATCGTGCAAGGTGCACGCCGTAGGAAACCTATGGTCTCCGGGGAAATCGTGTAGGCTTACTATGGCACCATTCTTCCAAAGGCCGGTCGACAATTTTTTTACCGACTTTTCTCTCCGTGAGAATATTTGGCTAAATGTTCGCCTCCAGAGGTAGTACGACTTCGTGAACACGACTCTCACATCCGCTTGGCAGTCCGCGTTACAGGTGACTCCAGCGCGCGGACTTCCTGACTGTTTTGTGCCGAGCGAAGTGCTAGGGTAGATGGACAAACATGATCAGACAAGAAAGTACTCTTCCTGATTGCCTGCGACAATGGTCCCTCGCCTCTGGGGAAAAGGATGTTGACAAGCGTAATAGACTGCGCCGCCTAGGCGCCGGCGCTAGGCAGATTCGGGTTAAGCGGATGTGATAATGTGATAGTCATGTTCAGGACGTCGAACTACTCCTAACGACAAGCTCCCAGCAAATTTGGCGATTTAGGGTGTTTCGGCGCCGGCAGCCTGGTGCGGGCGCCAGGCGGTTTCAGGCCGAACAGATGTATTGGAATCTCCTTTTGATTAGCTACTTGATTAACAACAATAACTATAGCTACTGAACGTCTTACCCGAGTGGACTGCCATATTCAACTAAAAGTCACTTTAAATGCGACGTGCGTGACATTCCTTGGGACTTCTTTTCGCGATCGCTACGATACCTCTTGCTCCCATCAGCTCATCCCTGACGTTGATTTCTGGGGTTAACCGCTTGATAGCGATTGTCATAAGCAATTTTCCAATGGGGCTTCCTTTGTGCGGTTTGAAACGATGACTACTGTTAGATATCGCATTGATCTACCGACCCACCATGACCACTACTTTTGATCGTTACCTACCGTATTAGGTA